AATCATTAATGCATCAGCAGCTGAGTTAGAGAAGCGAAAGCCATATTACTTGTCTGTGATGTGACATGCTTAACCGATTCAGAGTTGATTAGAGCCTCTCGTAGGTAGAATGCTAACAGGCCAACAGTTAGAATGTTAGCACCTGAAATTGAGTGAAGAGAGGAGGAATAGAAAACTTATTCTTATTTAATACACTATTACAGAATCGCCAGTAGTCACGAGAGTCAAAGTTGTTAGATGCTATACATTGCTTCATTCTTTTAGCAAACAAAGGATTAGCTTGTTCGAGGAAACACTGGTAGAGCCGGAAAAAGCAGTTTCTTTGGATTATAGCGGCTGAACAGGCTGGTTTGAACCATGAAGAAGATTGTGGTCTCACCTGATATTACCGAGAAGTTATAAAAGCATCGATGCTGCCTTTAACCCCAAAAGAAACCTCATTGGCACAATCCTCAATTAGAAGGTTAAGACTATCAATCGAAGGGGCGTATCGAAGAAAGTTACGAAATGAATCCCAGTCAGTACGCTGGTAACGGAAAGAGCGTTAAAATTGATTTAAATTCCTCGGGGATTTATCTCTTTACAATACAAACACCTTTAAGTTCGGATCAGTATTTATTAAGATATCAAATCATAAAATTAAATAAGGGGGGAGAGGCTAATTACATAAAAAATATTGCCAATATTTTTTTTTTTTTTTTACAAAGTGATCTTTTCATCAATTAATTCAGTCGTATGAGTAAATATAGAAACTTTCATTTAAAACCATAGAATTTCAGGAAATTTTAAAAATATAATTAGAATTGAACATTTCAATTGATTTGTGTAATTACGTGTAATTTCTGACTATGCTAAACAGTAGTGAAACACAAATCTCACAAATAATAAATCCATTTCTTTTTCATGTAAGAAAATAATTGTTAAATTTTCTTTGTAAGAAAATAAATTTGACAAAAATTGATCAAAAGTTTACTTGTCACTGAATAGGTGTTTGCAAGTCGGGATCAATTTTACGCGTACAACACAATCGCAATAAGCTTAGCTTTGTCTAGAAAAAAAAAATAAAAATAAGGAACACAAAGTGAGGATCGAACTCACTACACAACCGTTGGTACCGCCCATTTTTTTTAATCATAAGTTTAGCCATGCACACACTACATGATGATTATATTCAGATTATAAATCATTCATTCAGTCGAGATAGAATGTATCTTGAAAATCAGGATTTGAAAGTTCTGTTTTCACTCGGGTTTGAACACAGACCACCGGGGCCGTTGACAAATACACAACTCCGCGTCAGTCATGTGGTAGCATGGAAATTAGTGAAGGAGGTGTAGATAAACATTTCAGCTGATCAGAGGCTTCGTTGCGCCTACAGATCAACTCATTTGATTTGTGCATGAATATTTTAACCTAGTCAGGCAATTGGGTTGCGGACAGGTCTGCATTTTAGCTAATCCGAGACCCCGGGTGCGTACACATCAACTTTCTTGAATTATGCAGGTACAGATGGATATTTTAGCTAATCAAGGGCTTCGGGTGCATACAGATCTATATATGCTTGATGAACATTTTAGCTAGCCAGCGATTTGGATGTATACAAATAAACCATCTTGGTTGGTGTAGGTACGGATTAACATTTTAGCTCGCCAGGGTCTTTGGATACGTATAGATCTACATTTTAGCTCGCCAGGGTCTTTGGATACGTATAGATCTACATTTTAGCTCGCCAGGGTCTTTGGATACGTATAGATCTACATTTTAGCTCGCCAGGGTCTTTGGATACGTATAGATATACATTTTAGCTCGCCAGGGTCTTTGGATACGTATAGATCTACATTTTAGCTCGCCGGGGTCTTTGGATACGTATAGATCTACATTTTAGCTCGCCGGGGTCTTTGGATACGTATAGATCTACATTTTAGCTCGCCAGGGTCTTTGGATACGTATAGATCTACATTTTAGCTCGCCAGGGTCTTTGGATACGTATAGATCTACATTTTAGCTCGCCGGGGTCTTTGGATACGTATAGATCTACATTTTAGCTCGCCAGGGTCTTTGGATACGTATAGATCTACATTTTAGCTCGCCAGGGTCTTTGGATACGTATAGATCTACATTTTAGCTCGCCGGGGTCTTTGGATACGTATAGATCTACATTTTAGCTCGTCAGGGTCTTTGGATACGTATAGATCTACATTTTAGCTCGCCGGGGTCTTTGGATACGTATAGATCTATATTTTAGCTCGCCAGGGACGTTGGACACGTATAGATCTACATTTTAGCCTGCCAGGGATTTCGGGTACATATAGATCTACAATCTACATTTTAGCTAGTCAGGAATTTCGCATACATCAGATTACATTTTCGCTAGACAGGAACTTCGGGTGCGTACAGATCTACCTGCTTGATTGGTACAGCTTCAGATAAACGTTTTAGTTAATTAGGGCCTTCGGGTGTTTACAGATCTATATTTTAGCTGACCAGGGATTCGAGTGCGTAGAGATCGAGAGTCTTGATTGGTGCAGGTACAGATGAAGATTTTAGCTAGTCATGGGCTTCATACGCGTACAGATCCACCCGTTTGATTGGTGCAGTTATAAATAAACCCAGTTAGTTAGCTAGTTAGTGATTTCTACCCATAAATCTGTAATGTTTGTTTTAAATAATGTTTTATATTTTAAAATACCTGGCTTTGATGAACTGCCTCTGCGCTATAGTTTTTTTTTTACGTTGTTGTTTGTTCAATACAAGGCCCAAGAGCCACTCTAATATACAAGGATTACTGTGAGCTACAAATGATAGGAAGTTTTGGAGAGCGATGATCGCCTACGCCTTAAAAGGACACGGCACATAGAATAACACAGATCACGATCATGAGTTCCAGAACACATTAAGGTCGTAGGAGCTCCATTAGTGTCGGGGGTTAGAGAACCCAGTCTGTCCTTAGCTGGGGACTAACATAGATACTGTGTGCCAAAAACATATTTGAATGGATTGGAAAAATATTGCCAAGGTCAATATTTAATCGGTAGCTTTTTTCTATACGGACATAAATATTAATATGTTGTTAAAACACACCCCCACACACTCACAAAAAAAAAAAAACAAAAAACAAAAAAAAAAAAAACGATTACATCGAAGCAAGGAAGCAGTGGAGTAATGATAATGCCAGTTAGCAACGATGAAGAACTTCAAAAATCTTGATTACGAATGGCTGAAATGCAGCCAGCATAAATAAAACCATAATTATTGTTACATGTTTACCTTTACCTCGAATATTTTCGGTGCCAAGTTATATGTAATGAATAATTCCATTGAATTGAATATACGTTTTGTTTGAATATGTAATAAATCTTACCCGTGATAATATGCGTTATGATTGTATATATATATAGCTATGATATATATCTTACCCATGATAATATGGGTTAGTAATTAAAGTCAATGTGAAGATAACGAATTAGCAAAATGGAGCTAGCTAATATCTGAATCAAAGATATAAAGCAAGAATGATAAAAAGGACCTATTGCTTGGATCCACAGATTTTTATCTTCGTTTTGTTTGGTGTTAAGGATTTGAAATATATATCCTAAGAAATTAGGACGCAGTCCAGACAGGAACTAGTATCGAAGGCGTTTAACTTTTGACCAATTAGAAACGTTTTTGCTACGAAGATAAAGAGAAGTGAGGAAATGACAAACCAAAGTTTTTATATACAGTGGAACCTCGGTTCGCCAATTTAATTCGTTCCTGAAGGCCGTTCGTAACTCGGAATGTTCGTAAACCGAAACTATTTTTTTCAATAGGAATCAATGTACAGAATGAAAGTCATAGTACAATAAAATTGGAAAAGAAAATCACGGCACAACACACGAATGTATACAACACGGCAGTCGACTCAGAAATTAGTCTGTTCGGGTTAACTCAGTTCGGCAATGTTGTTCGAGAACCGAAATTTTGTTCGATAACCGAAGCATTTTCATCTCGAATTTTCTGTTCGAAAACCGATTTCTTCAACATGTGAGGCGTTCGAAAACTGAGGTTCTACTGTATATAAAAATGATGTTCGGCCATTGAAATAATGCTCTGCAATTGATATGGCCTCCTAGTCATTCGATCGACTAGACTATTACACCTACAAAGTGCTTCCCAAATATATACTGCTTAAAATTCCCCTCTTTCTACATGCTGTGTTCATTCAAGACGTGTGCGGCCATGGCTCTCCACAACTTACTGTCAGTTTGTGCATGAACCATGATAGCTAAATAAATTTATTTCTGAATTTACCGCTTTTATAAATATATAGGTTTTTTAAATTTATTTTGCTTTCTGTCTTTTTCCTCAAAATGGAAATACAGTTGAACCTCGGTTCACGAATTTTATTCGTTCCCGAAAGCTGTTCGTAACCAGAAATGTTTATAAACCGAAGCTGTTTTTTTTTCCCAATAGGAATCAATGTAGAAAAAAAAATGTCACATTACAATAAAATTGGAAAAGAAAAGCATGCCACAACACACGAATGTATACAACACGGCGGTCGACTCAGAAATGATTCCATTCGGGTTAACTCAGTTCGGCAATGTTGTTCGATAACCGAAATTTTGTTCGATAATCGAGGCATTTTCATCTCAAATTTTCTGTTCGAAGAACGATTTGTTCAACACGTGAGACGTTTGAAAACCCAGGTTGCTCTATATTTACGTATCACTCCAACACTAATGGCGAAATAATGACGTTAGAATACAATAGCGATAGGGTATAATGTTTCAAATCTACAAACGCAACGTTTTTTTCTTTTTTTCCTTTTTTTTGAAAAGAGAAAATATCTATTCTGTCAAAAACAGGTCTCTTCTGTTCAAAAAGAGGAATTTAATAAACGTCTGACAAAACGCATTCTTCTAACGCTAACAACTAATAATTGCACGTAAAATGTACATAATTATTATGGACACAGGGCAAAAACAATGTTTAAATATGCAATTTTTTCTTTTATATTTTTCCCAAGCGGTCACCCATCTAGGTATTGAGCAGGCTCAACTTTGCTTAACTTCGGTGATCGTAGGAGACCCGATATTTCAAAGTAAGCCTTCATTTTTAAGCACTGATTTTGTTTTGTAGTTTTATTCATCGCCCTGTGAACGACCTTCCCAGATTGTTTTGTCTGGACAATAGAATAGCTTCTTTTTCCTTTTCCTTTTTTTTTATAGAGAAAAATAAGCAAGTCAAATAAACACAAGAGTTGTCTTTTCGCGTTGCTAACTCTTGATAACCAAGCACAAAAGACAAAACAAACTGGGAAATCTAAAAATGTTTTTAAGTTTAAAGCTACTTGCAGTAAATTTCTTCTTTATTGGGCACGTCAGAGTAAATCAAAATCCAATAAAAAAAAAGAAAAACGTCTGCTCCTTTAAATATTTTGTGTAAAATAATAGAAAAAGATGACACTTTATTTCGACACGCTGTTCCTTGCTAACAATATTTCCCGACTAAATATTTCTTTATTTTTCGAACTTGGGATTCTGCTGCTCTTTGCTGATAGAAAGTTTAGGTTAAAAAAGAAGGGATATACAATTAGCTGAGAGTTTTTTATTTTTTTATTTATACTGACGGTTCATCCAATACAAAGTCCAAAGGTCACTAAATTACAGGGTTACTGAATAAGATTACCAGAGAGGGGGAAGTAAGCGTATTATGAGGACGAGTGGGAAAGATGTCGGTTGACCCTGGACTTAAAGAAACCAAAATTGTAGTTGTCAGGGAAGCATTGTCTCGGGAGTTCCACAAAGTAAGTTTCTTTTATTCTGGACTCCAGTTGAAATAACTCGCCAATGTCCAATCTATCATATCGAAGTTATAGCATTTTTATATCAGTTTTATTCCATCACTAACGACAGCTTTAATTCTTGACCACAATACATTTTCTTCCTTTTCACATCATTTCTATAATAAAATCATTTAGATTGCACAGCAATTCTAAATTGAAATTTATAAAATCTTTTCTTTAAACAAATTTTTAAGAAAACAGGTTTCTCAAGCCCAGTAGCTGTTATCGTTCTTTCCAGTATGAATGGAGGTTTCCTTCCTAAACTTCTATTTGTAGTAGTGTGGATTGTTAACATCTTGACAGTGTCATTTTTTTCCTTTCGAGTTACATGTGCTATCCATTTTAGTTGTTGCTGCTGATCCTCAAGTGATTTGAATTCTGTTATTTGTTACAGTTATTTGTGATTCTTTTGCCAGAAGAACTGAAGTCTACTTTCTTCATTATTTACATTATTCGGACTAATGTCCTCATCTTTGTCGCCATATTTATCACAACGTTTCGGCCGTTGTACGCTCCGGCCTTCTTCAGGTGGTTGGAATTTCGAACTGAACCCTTTATTTCGCTCACTGAGGTAGACTGTTCTAGGTCCACGTGCCATGTTTTTGATGGATGTCAGTTATCAGTTATCTCCTGCTAATTTCCCTCTGAAAGTTCTCCACTGCCATAACCGGGTATTGAACTCACACTCTTTGGGTCCTGTCACTGGATCTAACCAACGCCTTTATCCACTGTGCCATGACACGAAACGTTGTGATAAATATGGCGACAAAGATGAGGACATTAGTCCGAATAATGTAAATAATGTATATAATACCTCATCTCAGAAATATAGACAGTCTACTTTCTTGCCAGGACTTAATATTTTGTATAGATTTTATTGCACTTAGTACAGTATGATCTCGAATGTTAGAGAAATATAATTGGCCAAGGAAAATACTGTTTTGATAACCTAACTAGCGAGCGCGTGTAAAACCTAGAAAATTTGTCTTCTAGGTTCTAGCTTTTTACCAGGGCTTGAACACCGGTTGAAAATACGTAAGTGTTTAAGTCACAAGGCACCACCACATAGACATATGAATAAACAATATTTTTACTTTGTTCGTCACAACATTTAATGATTAGGAAATGCAGATAAATAGGACATGAGTTTATTATCATCCAGTTATCCGAATTAGAATTAAAAGGATTAAAAAGACAAACGCTGGGAAGAATGACAAAGAGATTAATGTTTTTAACGATTAGCTCCTCGATACAGAAAACTCAATGCCTCCTACCCGCTAAAGTTATAAGATTAGATTCATTTCTACAAAAGTAACTCAAGCTTAAGAGGGTCTGTAATCGATCCTGATTTGGCGTCATTTTTGCACCGACCTAACGTGGCTTCGCTCTGCCTTTTATACGAATATTTTCATGGCAATTGTTCTCATGAGCTTTTCTCTTTGGTACTTCGACTACATAAATGTAAACGTGCTACTAGATTGGCAATTAGCAAGATGCAACAGTTAGTTCTATTTTCATAGTTTCTCTTCCCGCCTGTGGAACTCCCTTCCCGGTCGTCTACGATCTTCAAAAATTTAAATGCGGCGCTAATTGCAATCTTATGTCTTCCTGAATTCTGTTCTTTTATTGTCCTTTCTTCTCACTAAAGTCTTCTCATTCACTTACACTCTCAGTAACCCCACTGGGCCTTAGTGACGTTATCGCCTTGCTTAGGGTGAAATGATTAAAAAAAATAACAAAGTTTGCGTTCAAGTAAGTAATGCAATTAACTCGTAAAGAGAAAAGCAAGGACATAAGAAACCGTATTTGTTAAGTGAGAATTTTGTATACAAAGAGCACTAACAGAACACATCGAACAAATGATTAAGATGATTGATGGAGCCGTAGAAATCTATAATATTACTCGACATTTTTTTTTATGTAAGATCGTTGTGGATTTCTACCCAGGATCCGAGTATAGTATTAGCCCAATCTGTGGTCTTTCTGAATTGGAATCATCTATCTCTCTCTTTCTATATATATATATATATATATATATATATATATATAAAAATATTAATGCAATGTCCCTTAAAGACGATCGTGTATTATCTATGAATAACTATACATTCTTGGAAAATATAATGAAGTGGTTTACCATTGCCTTCTCCACGTTTTGGAATTCAGAGATTTCATTCTCTTAGTCTGGTTGCCAACCAAGGATACAGGGTTTAGTCTATCCAACTATTTAGCTCATTACTGGAGTGGGAGGTCGAAGATTAAATGATTTCATGCCTTCCTCAAGGGCATTTATGCGAAAATGAACGCAGCAGACTTGCCCGGAATTTGAACTCGGATCGTCGATTCCACATTCTGCACCTATATCAGTTACACGATCTGTACATCCACAGATACATTTTCTTTATTACCTCGAAAATGCATTGACTTCTTACAACGATAGTGGAGTAGTTTCCCCATTGCCTTCTCCACAGTTTGAATTCACACGAGTTCTTCCCCTAAACAGGTTGCCATTCAACGTCAGACAGCTCAGTCTATTCTGTTATTTAACCCATAATTAGCAGGAGAATAGGCTCATGCCTTTCCTGATGGCATTAGCGTGAAAGTTAAGGAGATCGAGATACCGGCATAATAGTAAGAAGTGGAAGAGAAGGAAAAGCAAAGCGCGGGGTTGAGATGTGCGGTCCTTTAATGTCATTTTTATGACATCTGTTTTTATTTTCTAATAATTGTGATACTTTAAATGACAAACAATTTACATTTGAAATTTGATCGTCTGTCTATCAGCGAAACGACAAGTACCGAACCAGTTTCTATTAAAATATTCGTTTATTTTGTTCGTCTAAAAACCCGAACATTTGCGCCTACATAAAGCTGTATTAAATCTTAGATGTGAATTAAAAGTAACGTTTCTTGTCTCATGGGTCTTTGTTGTGATTGATTAAAAAAAAAGGTGGGGCATTAATTTTTAGCTATTATTGCTTGAGCCGGTACCCACACTTTATTCATCGTGGCATGTCAGTGACAAAGTCTTTTGCCAAGGTATCAGCGCTATGGTGAGGTGCAGAGAGGAGTTGATTTATTCCCAACGTCATGAATATAAAGTGGTCAAACAATCTCAGTTGAAACTTGAACCTAGTTCTCTGATTCCGGGTAACTGTAACGTCATCATGCAAAAATACATCAGTTCTGTTGACTACTAAACATTTATTCGAAGACTTGCTTGGGAGTTGAGTATATCCCTCCGGTTCTAGAAACTAGTGTCTATTCAGACAAACGCAAGAACACCTCCCCCCTTCTTCACTCTATTAGCGAGCCTCATAAATATTTAGATTGCTGTTATGGTAAATATTCTCTTGAAATTCTTTGATTTTAAGTAATCTTATAATTATTTTGATGAAACCTCAAACTTTTTATCTTTTAGTTCTCGTTTCTCTATTTTGAGTTAAAACAACAAAAACAAACACAAGCTTAAGATGATAAATTGTTTAAATTGATCTGACTAAAACAGAAAGCGGGTCAGTATATTGATTCTTCAGATATATACACTGTGTGTATGTGTGAGAGAGGGAGGGAGGGAGATAGACACAAGTAGACGTCGGAGAAGGATAAGCAATACACATGGAACAATCAAATCTAATTTTAATGGCTTTTTATGACAAGCTTTCTTAGTCTTACTAATTAATCTGAAGCTTTACAGAAAATGCATTTGACTTAGGATTTAATTGTGAGTTTTTGGAATGTATACCCTAAAGTGATGAATAAATACAAAAACAGATTTTAAATGAGGATATGTCAATTACTGTCTGCCATGCCCTTATTATATATATAACAAACGTTTTATCATTATCCAATGAAGGGTGGGAGTGCTTGAACATCGTTCTTTGACTTTTAAGCACAAAATTACCGACGACTGACAATGCTGATTAAAATTTAATCTAGAATTTTAAATAAAAAAAAGTCTTATATAATTTCCCTTAGCCATTGACTGTAGGCACATTATTATTGGAGAAAAACTAAAACTAAGCCGAAACTATTTTGACTAGAAATCTCGACTCTTTTTTTCACCGATTTGTTCGATTGTCAAGTCTAGCTTCAACGTAAAATATGTCGAAGCCAAACGTACAGCTTACTTTCTTTATACAGTGTAACCCGGATATAAGAGACCCGAATATAAGAGAGATTTTCTCTGGTCCCAAATTAGAGCCTGTGTTAAGGTATATAAAATAGACCAAACCCGGATATAAGAGAAACCCGGA